TTGATTACTATTATACTGATGTGATTTTAGCCGAAGGATATGCAACAAGGACCCAAATGTAATACGAATGATATTTACAAATATAATCAAAATTCACTGCGGGTATTCACATAACAAAATATATCAGTCTTGCAGCGCTCGAGTTAAGTATCCCTTGAAATTTCTGAAACTAATTTTTGTTGTTTTATTTCATGTATTAAAAATATGCAATTTATTAATATTTTATATGAAGAAGGCTGACCTTCAATATATTAATGGATATATGCCATACAATTTATATACAATTTAATTACGCATATATTTACAGACAGCTTTGCATATGCAACATAATTGATATCGTAATCCTACCAAATTTCACATCTTATAAATTTTATATCTCTATTTTTTAAGAGAATGGCACAGCAAACTTTTCAGAAAAGCTGATTTAGAAAAAAACTTCACTTGAGAAATATTCACTACATTTTTTTTTACTTTGCAATTTAAACAAATTTTGAATAGCATACAAGAAATTACCAGCAAATTAAATGTAAATCCTATGAAATTTCAAAACTAAATAATCAAAGACAAAATATCAGAAACCTGATTTTGATTAAAATTATAATTTTCTATGCTTTCTTCAGAAAATGTTAAGTCGATTCTTTAAAATAGAATTTAATTTTCTAGATTTTTTCACTAACACAATTATTTCATTTATATAATTTAAATTTTTTTTTATATATACAAAACAAAAGGATTAATTCAATCGTATAATTATAATTTGTAATTAATATTAAAAGTATATAATTATTAAATTTTTTTTTTAAAACAATAAGAAGGTTTATAAAGCACAAATTAATGAAAACAAAAAATCAAAAGAATTTCAAGAGTAAAAAATTTTTTCACAACAAATTTAATCCGAAATATTTAAAAACAAAATATATAATATAAATTTTTTTTGGATATCCTTTACAAAATATTAAACAATATCATTATATTTGTATATATATATATGTATAAAATTGTAGAAAAATAGAAATTATCATAATTATTTTGTCATTACATATTCTAAAACTCATTATAATTTTTCTAATAATGAAAATAATTTAATTATCCTTGCCTCCTTTTTATTTGTTGTCATAATATACACTTTACTTATACAATATAAACAAATAAACAAATGTATATGTATGTATAAGGGTATGTATATGTATGTATATATAAGAAAAAGGCATATATTTTGTATGTCTTACATTTTGTTTCCTTTTTTAAGGAAAATTAATTCATTTTCTTTTTAAAATTAATTCACTTATAATATTACAAAATAGATATACATATACACAGGTCTGTAGACATAATATATATATATATATATATATATATATATATCTATATATATATATATATATATAAATCTATACAATATGTGTATATACATGTATGTATGTAAAATATTTCATTTTGTTCTCAAATTTCAAGTAATTTAAACTAATTAAGGAAAAATTTTTTGTTTATCGAGAAAATTATATACAAATTTTACGTAAAATAAATCTTTTAAATAATCTTAAGTAAAAGAAAAGTTTTGAAGAAAACTTTTTATACTCTGTTTTTTTTGAAATTTGAGTGTTTTATAAAATTTATTTAGGTTACAAAGAAAAAAAATATAAAACTTTAATGTGTTCCCATATAAGTTGATTCATTAAAGAACTACTTATTGCGGTTTTGTTAAATTAAAGTTAAAAATTTGCAACATTCTTAGAAATTTTGATTTTTTACAAATTGATGTCCTTTTGTGTCACAATATGTTGTATAAACTTTTAGTTCTTAAATGATACAATGATGTTCTTTGACCTCTATGTCATAGTGTATTTGTATACGCCATATAATATTATTTCGTCCTATTCTTGTTACAAAGTTCTTGCAGCTATACCATATAATTTGTTATGTTGTACATATTTATGTTTTTATGTCCTCTCTACTAATTATTTACATTAGGATAATGGAATTACCATTAAGTAGTTCTTAAATATTATGTAAAATCTTAATTTATTAAATCTCACCTTGGAAATTTTGGCATAAATCACTTTTGTTCGTGCTCGCATAAAATATTGTTTTGTTTTCCATAATTCTGGTTTAGTTTTCCATTAATTCTGGTTTTCTTTTCTTGTAAAACTTCCGTTTTAACTTTCAAAAATTTAGAAAGAGCTTTAAAGAAATACATACATATCTTAAAATAATGAGGAACGAATTCCTCAACATTCCATTTCATGTAATCAGAATTTTTGGTTTTTTGATTTAAAACTCATTGGTTCTTGGTTCAATTTATCGAAAATTAAGTCGGCGTTTCAACTTGGGAGTGAAATTATTTTATTATTAGCTAAATTTATTATCTTCTATTATATCTTGCTGTAAATACTTTCATATATAAGAGAGTTTTCCAGAAAATCCTAAAACAAAGTGTTAAATACGATTATCAAATTTCAAATAAATAAAAATATTGACAAAATCTTTCGACACACTAAACGTGTATAATAACTATTACCTTACAATTAATGCAATATAATAGAAAACTTGTAGAAATAAATTTTGCAGAATTGCTGTAAAATCTTATACAGATATGTACTCTGCATTATATCGTCGGCTGAGAAATAAAACAGTGTATAAAAAAAGGTATAGTTTTGAGTAAATCGCGTTTGAAGTTTTTTGCAAAATGAAAATGAAGTTTCGAATCTAAAATCTTCCGGTTGTCATCTTTGACTATCCTGAAAAGTTATGTTAAACATTTTTGGGGGAATAAATAGTTTATTTGCATAAATTTGATTAAATAAATTTTTGTAGATCTTAGAAAATTAGAGGTTTGAAATTTCTTGGTACTTCTTACACTATTTTATTTTTGGTAGAAATTGTATGAAGAAAGTTATACACTGTTTCATTTTAATTTTTTTGTATGGTATACACCATTTCATTTTTATTTATACGTTATTTTATTTTGTAAAAAATTAATATAATTTGAGAAACAAAATTAACATTACATACTTTAACTCAACGTATGAAAATATAAACAGGTATTTTTATCGATATTAATGTAACATGAAAAGTTGTAAACAAAAATAAATAATATTAACATAAAAGATAATTCAAATGTACATTATTTCTACTTGAAATTTTGAAACTTAGTTTTAAAAATTAATTATAGCTCTTCAATCTCGTCTTCTGAATAGCTTGGTTCGTTTAATTTAGATAAATTATTTTTAGATGAGGCTTTTTCTGCCAAGTTTTGATAAAATGCTACTGAATGTTTCTAACTAAGATTGATTGATCATGTTTTCATATTGCGCACATGAAACGAGTTATTAAATTTTGTATTAAAGATTCTTTTATAAGTATGCTAGCCAACTTTTATGTGTATTTTATAATGCTTAAGTTAAGCTTTTTTGCAAACGGTTTTACCATACAATGTATAACAAGGCGTAAAATTTTTTTCGAGACATTCGCGGCCGTTTTCTTGTATACGAGTATACTTTGTGTGTGAAAGTATGTTTTAGAAATAATCTTTTCTTTCCATAATCACCCAGCTTTCAATACGAATTATTACTATTAATTCTTGCATCTTAAGGAAATTTTTCAACGCAATTGTGTTGACAGTTGCAAATTAAGTTGTAACGTTCTTTTGCTTTGAGTTCTTTCTTTTTTAATTTTTTTTATTGCTTTTTTATATTTTCACTTAGATTAGTACTTTATAAAATTTTTTCGAGTAGTGTTTCCGGTGATGTAGATGTAATGTTTTCATTATCAAACGTTTAGTCTATAAAACATTCTGTAAGTTTTTCTGGTTCCGCTTCACCCGTTTCAGATGCTGAACTCTTGCTAGGCTAATAATTGTCATCAGAGCCAGAAGAAAAGTCTGTAATAGAATTTTCTGGTGACTTCTCGAAAAACGTTACCACTTCTTCATCATTAAAATTTTTATTCCTTTTCTTTTTACGTGACACAACAAAATTATTTTAATTGTTGTGAGTATAAAATTTTGCCTTAAATTATTAATTATTTGCTTCACTTATTAAAAAAGTTATAACTTTAAGTTCTGTACTGATCAACAAAATCCAACAGAATACTTATTTGTTAAAAATATTTGTCTTATACATGAAGATGCGTATAGAATTAAACAAAATTAAACAAGTATAATGTACATATGTACGTTTGTTTTGTACGCTGTTTTATTGCATTGTTTGCCAGGGAAGACGATTCAAAATTCAAAATTAAAGTAGTGTATAAGACAATATGAAACAGTGTATCAAATTCTTACACCGTTTTACTTTTCAGTTTATTGCAAAAATTTTTTTTATTAAAATTTAAAAAGCGTGTAAAAGTAACATACACTTTTTTATTTGGTATTGAAATTAACAACTGAATGATAAATTTTCTACCAAAATAGTGTAAGAATTCATTACGTTATTTTAAATTTTGTAAAAAGTTACGGTTTGGCAATAAAACAAAGTAAACGCATTTTACGCTATTTTGTTATTAATTAGTTTCTAAAAATGCTTTATACAATATTTTCGTTTTTATTTAAAAAGTATGTTAGAATGAAAAGCTAGAGAAATATAAAGTAACTCAACTTATAGAATCGACTATGGAGAATCCAATGGTGATAAAATCGGATAACGACGTATAAATGTTATACGCTGTTTTCTTTCTCAGCCGACGATATGTATATTTAAAATTTTCTCCTACATTACATACATACATGATTTTCGTATCCCCTTTTTATTGTAAAAAAAAACTTCAATGAGCATTATACAGATTATTCTAAAATATTCTGCAACTCTGTAATCATTCTACAGAGCTATAACAATTTACAAAAAAAAATTCCCAAAACAAATCAACAGGTGAGTATGTACTAAGAACAAATACCAGCACAATATTAATTTTTTTTCTGTTGTACTCTAATTTACACCGGTTACCATGACAGTCGTTACTATTCTACAAAATAGTCAAAACAAACTTGAAAAGAATTTTGTACAAAAAAACCTTTTAAGAATATTCTTAGAAATTTAAAATATTTTCAAAGACGTATCTAGTTAATAAAAATGTCTTTTAAAGATGTAAGAGGTAAATTAATAAAAAGCAATTCTATCGAAATATTTTTCATAAAAAACTTAAAAAACAAATTATTTTTAGATCTCTCGGAGCATTTAAAATTGCTTGGATATTCGAATCAATTTCCATTACAAGCTCTCTATAGCAATTATGGCAGCCTTAATAGTTTTAAGGTAGTCGCAGATATTCTACAATGGCTTGCTGGCAGATTAGAACCGGGAACAGTACTTCCTGGTGGTACTGAAACTGAATCAGATCGTGTACTACTAATACGTTCAGCTACAGAATTTTTTGTAACAAAATCAGCAATTAAATTAAATCCAAGAAAATTGTACGCAAGTTCATCGGCAGCAGCAAAAGAACTTCAAAAAATTACAAGCATTTTGATGCAAACACCAAATGAAAATGATGAAAATGAAGATGAAAATTATAAAAGTTTAGCACTAGTTGATTTAGGAGATAAAATTGACGATTTAAGAAGAGCTCGTGAATTATCTTCTGAATTAACAAATGGTGGTGCTTCTCTATATGATTTACTTTCAAAAGAGTTAATTAATAAGGAAACAAGAATGTTGCAATCATCAAGATCAATGGAAATTGCTACAGTTGAAAAAGCATTAAAAAATACAATAACTGCTTTACAAAATAAATTGCATTCAGCTAAAAGTCAATTAGAACAAGCTAGAGTTGAAAAAAATGCTCTAAATTCAAAATTGCAACGTAAAAAAGCTGAATTAGATAGAACAAAACAAAGACTAGATGCATTACAAAAAATCCGACCAGCTTATCTTGAAGAATTTGAGCAGTTAGAAGAAGAACTTCGAGGTTTATTTCAGCAATATTTCATAAGAATACAATGTCGTGATGCTTTAAGAGCTCAACTAGCGGCTCGTACAAAACTTACTACTCCATTATCATCTCCTATTTCAAATAAACCAGCAGAATCTTCAATGAATTTCATTACTGAAGGTTTAATAGATGATGATGATGAAAATGAAGATGATATTGATAATGATGATGAAATTTTGGGACCTGGTATACCAAGCGAAGAGTATTCAAGAAATAGAGACAATAGTGTAACAACGGATTCTCCAAGAATTGTGGAATCAAGAGAAGTACCACGTGTTCGACCAACAACTGGTCGATTTAAACCAAGAACTGGTACAGAAGCTGGAAGAAGAAATGTTGTTGGTAGTATGTTAGGCGGAGAAGATGATGATCCTTTGGATAGTACATTAGGAAGTGGAGAATCGGATAGCGAAATAGATTTAGGGGCACATGGATGTAAGTTCTTTTTTTACATAAACGTATTTTTTAATTTAATTTTACATAAAAATTTAATTTTATTAGATGACTTAGCGTCCGATGACGATATAAGCTTGTCGAAGTTAACTGGAGAAAATTTAATAATAAATAAAAAGCAAAATAAACTATCAGAAAATGCGAGTGATGAAGATTTTTAAAAAATAACTATATTTCAATAATTGAAATGTTATGAATTTCTGTTTGTTTACTCTTTACACATAATAAAGAAGAAACTAAGTGTGCACTAACTTATTATAGTAATTTTGAAAATGTATATTTAATAAAAAGCACTCTCATAAAATCGTTTACATTTTCATAAAATTTTTTGTTATGGCCCACTCCGCCATGGCCAGTGACGTTAGTTGAAGAATAAATTTTGATACCAAATTATTAGTTTGAAGACGAGCCTATCCCCCTATGAAAACCCATTTTTTTTTAAAATACGATATTCTATGTTTATATATTTCTTTTAATACCATGTTAGTATGTCATATCTTTTGCACACTTTTAAGGTGCGAACAAAATTTTAAGAAATTTTTTCCTAGATTTTAGATTATAGTCAAGTTTTAAGAAATCTCTTAATGTAGAAACTAAACGTCTTAAACAAGTTTAGTGGGTTACAGGTTTTATTACCCAGTTATATAAAAATTCATATTACCATGTTATATGTACATATTATATAAAAAACTAATTCAAATTTTATAATATAAAACTTTTTTTTATTATTTTGCTTTTTTTGTTTGATTTGTGTTTTTAGTGAATTTTTACAATTTACAGTACAAGTTTATTTACATTTTTTTATAATATAAAAATAATTCTTTTTAATAGAAATTATTTTCTGTTCATATTTTTTTTTTTAAGTAGTTCCAAATTATAGAGTTTTTTAATATTTATTTTATCATAACATACATACATTCATAACATAATTAAAATAGTTTTATAATGCAAACACATTATTTCAATATTGATCAATTATAATAGTTAACATAAAATTATTTTCCTTTAGGTATTTTCTTAATATTTAAAATTTCAATTTGATATTTTGCCTTTAAGATCATTTCGTTCAAATGATAAATTATAAAATAAATTAAATATTTATTGTGAATAAATAATGAATTCAGAAAAACTCAAAATAACAAAATTAAAAGAATATTTCATTTCTCTTTATTAATTGAATTGAATACAAGTATTCAAAATATTGTCAAAACATAGAGCAGAAATTAAAATTTTGAAGAGGTTAGACAAATCATTAGTCGCAGCAATGTATAGTAGTAATATTATAATAATAAATTGAAAAATAAATTTCAAAGCCTCTAAAATAAAAATTTTCATTTTACATAAAACATATATAAAGGGGAAACAAAGAAAAAAACAAATTTTCAAAATATCATTGAAATTAAGACAAATGGAAACACAATAAAAATAATAATCGAAATGATCTTTGTACTATAATTGTTAAAAAAAAAATATTTCAAAAACGAAAAAAAAAATACATTTTACAATTAATTCAAAACATTAAATTGAACTGAAATCAATAATATTCACGAAAGCAAAACAAAAAAAAAAAAATGAAAATTAAATAATATAAAAATTAATTTAATTCAAATAAATGAAAAATTATTTTTTGTATAAATATTATTGCAACGAATTGTATTAAAAAGCATTTTAAACGTGTTCTAGTTAATAGATAACATTTTAAATTATGCCCCATTTCATTAAAAACGTTAGCCATTATTTTAGAATTTTCTCTTTTATTTTTTTTAATAAAATTCGAATCAGGAATCACTTAAAATATCTTTTAATATGGAACTGGAATTTCTTGTTGGGGCAAAATCAGATAACACATTATCATTTAATAGAATTGGTTGCACTGATGTATTACGCATATTACTAGCTATTGATGTTGAAGACATTGTTGATGATTGTGAAAGTTTCCTTTCTTTTGATAAAGAATTCGGATTTTCCGTAACTATATTTAATAAATTTGGGAGAGTTTTTGGATCATTCCTTGGCTGTGATTCTCTTTCTAAGAAATGCACAAATGCTTCAGCTAAACTATCTTTATTCTGATCTTGTACTGCACCTAAAATATAATATAATAATAAAAATTTAAATTTTGATACTTCTAAAAATAAATATATACATTATTGTATAACAATATTGAATTAAAAATTTGTCAATAATCTGAATTCTTTTTACCTGCTCCTAATAAACTTCCAAACCATCCTAATTGTTGTTTATTTAAACCAAGCTTATCTGTTTCTGTTTGATCAAAATCTAATACAGTTGTTATGACTTTTAATATTTGATTTTTATCATTTGAATTTGTACTAACAATATAACCAATAATTAAACTTTTTATTAAACTTTTTTCAATTTTATCAGCTTGACTAGATTCATTTGTGTTGATTTTCTCTCTTAGTTTACTGGATTCACCTTGAAGGCTTTCAACTTAATGTTATAAAAAAGAAAATAAAGAAAAAATAAATAGAAAAAATATTAGATTAGATAAGAAAAGCTTGAAATCTTAATATTAAAGCATAAATATTTTTAGCAGAAATAAATATTTTAATAAATTAAAAATATAAAACATTATTTTCATTTTGATATTCTACAATCTTACGTATTGTAATTTAAAATTCACAATAGATTCACTGAATTTAATGCATGAAGATTTCACATTTCTTAAGTTGAGCATACCATAAGTACTGTTAATTTATAATTTATTGAAAAAATATAAATTATACTTCAATCCAAAAACAGTACCTGATGGGAATACTCCACTCAAAAAACGTATATTTTCGATCCTTTTGAAGAAGAACACTTAATATTAAACGTTTTTTAATACAAAACATTTTCAAATTTAAAAATAATTGTTTGTCTTTTCTATCGAAACATTATATTTTTTTAAGATCACTTGCAGAAATTTTTTAATTTTCTTTTAATTTTAAAATTTTAGTTTAAACACTGTTTAATATTAGAAATTAAATACAAAAAATATCGCACAATCATTTCATTTCGAAAATCTTAACACCAACGCTTTATATTTCTTATTTGTTTCATATTATTTATTAAATTTTATTTATTAAAATATAATTTAGCAGTTTACCTCAATTATTAAAATGTAAAATTTTATTTTATTTTTAAAGTTATTTGAAATTAAAAAAACAATAATTTTTCGAAAACACTTTGTATTATATGAAAATCAAGGATTTTTCAATTTATTTTTCTAATATTTTTTCGTCGAAAATTAATTATTACATTCTTTTATATAATTTTTTGTAATTCATTATTTTATTAAATTATTATTATAAATATTTTCTTTTAATTTAATAAATGAAACTTTAAAAATATTTTATATAATTTAATAAGTAGGTACGATAATACATTAATAACTATAATCTTTTTCATATTATATAATTACATAAAATAATAATTTTATTTTATTAAACTCATTTTATTACTCTTTGAATACTCAAAATAATTCACAGTAACTTAAAAAACCAGCAAATAATTTTAAATTGTTTTATATTATTTTTAAATATTCTTTTAATTTAAACAAACAAACAATAAAAAAAATATTAGATTAAAGCATTGGGAAAAAATACATTTACTTTTGTAAATTTAAAAAAAAACATCAAAGTCTATTTGAAAAAAAAAAAACAAATATTGAAATAAAAATGCAGCATTTGTTTAACAAAAAAAATCTAAAATAATAATTATTTAAAAATCAAAAGTTATAATAAAACAACAACAACGAAACTGAAGCGTGTGAACATGTTTCAGATAACCTCAACCATTAACGTGAGAGTTGAAAAAAAACTCGCCCACAGTTAAATTATGAGATTGTCTTTAACATGTCAGTCAAAAATATATATAAAATATATAAATATATCAATAGATTTTGTTTCAAAAATTAATTATAATAATAATTAATAAAAGAAAAGTATATATTTAAATAAAACTAAAATTAATATAAAATTAAAAATTTAAATGTGTTAGAAATAGATTAGTGATTAGTTTTAACATTTTTTCTTTTTTGTCTTTTAATTTTTCAATAAGCATAATAGTATAAAATGAAACAAAATTATAGATTATTAAAAAAAAAAAAAAAAAACTAACATAGAATTGTAAAAAATTATAAAATGTCAAAAAGATAATTAAAAATTTTGCGTTTTTGCATTAACATTAATGATTAAATGCGCATACATCGTGCAATTAAAATGTTTACCATTTACAATGAAATTCATTTAATTCTCATTATATTTTGTTGAGATTACATAATGCAACAGTAAATAGATTTTAAATTGCAATTCAAAAAAATTTTCTAATTTATAATTATTTAAATAATTATTGTATATAAATGAAACAAAAAATTCAATAAATTATTAATATTGAAGTATAAAATGAATGAAGTCACTACTCTTTCATATTGAATTCATTTTTCGAAATAAACTCTTAGATATTTAATTATGCTAAAATACAATATGTATGGAAAAATTCTAATAATGTCACGTCTTAAAGAACTTATATTTGGATTCAAACAAAAGATTATGGTAGGAAAACTACCTACGTTATTTATATTTCTGTGATTTGGTTATTTTGAAATTGTTGATTTTGAAACAATTGCATATTAATTTTTTAAAAATATTTTTAATTCATATTTAAATATATAAAATTTTGAATTTTCTAAAATTTTGTAAAATAAAATAATTAAATTTAATTAAATGTCAATTTTTCCTAAATTTTGCTACTAAATATGCAAACAATATGATATTTCAAATAAAAATTTAAAACATTTGCAACAAAAAAAAGAAATACAAATAAGAAATAGCAATATGAGGTAAATATAAAAATAAAAAATCATAAAATAAACCAAGTACCCATATTAAATTATAAAAATAAAATTTAAATTAATTTTAAATTTAAATAACAATAAATTACATTTTTTCGTATTATTGTCAATGTTACTGTATTTATTTTTTTAATTATTAATAATGTGTAAACCATTTTTTTTTTTGTTCAATTTTATTCTTACTAAATTTCTTAAAAAGTTTATGAACCTTTCCTTATAAATATTATTATTAATAGATTGATTACATATTTTAAGATGAAATCAAAATAAAAACCAAAATGTGTTTGTAAAAATAAATGATTCCCATTTTTTTTTTTCTTATTCAAATTTTTCCATATTTGCGTACATTGTTAATGACCTTTTAGCAGTTCATAAAAATCTATACCAGCTGAAATTCCGAGCTGTTTAAATATAAAATCCCCAGAATTACCAACTGATATTTATCTTTAAGAACCATTTATGAAAGTAAATCCCTTTTATTGTTATTGGAAATTGCATTTATATATATTGTGTGTGGTGAATAATCGTTAAAAAAAAAAAACACCCTCCAACAAAAAAAAAAAAAAAACAAATTAACAAAATGAATTATTTTTCATTTTTTTATTCTTTTAGTTTTCGTGACTGTATTTTGTGGTTACAATGATATGTGCTATTTTTACTTTCCATATCTTTAATTAATATTTTGTATATTATTATTCTTTCCGGATTTCCTTTGTTATATTACACACTTTTTTTTTTTGTTTTTTGTAAATTATAATTTTTAAAATAAAAAAAAAATTAAACACTCAACCATTAATATGAAACTTAATTTAAATTAACTATATATTTAAATTAATTTTAGTATTTTCTTTTTGTAATAAAAATTAGAGAAAAAAAAATTATTTATTTCATTTGATTGAATTTTACTTTAATGTATCCTTAATATTAATATAAGCAATTTTAAAATAATTATAAGGAATTTTGTAATTTTGTAAAATAATTAAGTTTTCTAATAGGGTCCGATTAACTCATTACTTAAATCTAAGTTTTATCGAACTACACACAAGGATTTCCTTTATAATTTTCAAAGTTTAGTTTATAAATTATTGAATTTAAATATTTCTGTTATTAATTATAAGGTATTAATTTTTTAATGAATTTAATTTAGTAAAAAGGATAACTAAACATTATTCCAGTACAAGTAATTAAAATTCAACATATTCATTAAAATATAAATATCCATTTTAATTTATTGAAAAACTAATTTGAATTACCAAAATTAACTGAATGCTTTTGGTTATATAAAAAATAAAAAACAGAACATAAACCTCGTACAAATAGTATTAAAGAAACTGAAAAGAGTCTTATAATGGTTTTTAATTAAGACCAAAAATTAACATTGATTTTTTATCCCATTTTAAATATACAAAAACAATTGTTTACATTGTATTTTTTTTTGAATATTATAATACATACTTGAATGTTTTTGAATTCTTTTAGTTCTTAAAATTTTAATTACAAAAATATATAAATTTCATAAATTAATTAAAAATTTTTCTTAATTTTTTATTCAAAAATTATAGAATTGAATAGATTTTTTCATTTATAAAAAATAATTTATGTCAATAGAAATATAATGTATAATTATTTAAGTAAGTCAATAAACTTAACAATTTTTTTAAGAATTATTACTAAAAATATAACCTAAATCATAAAAATGTTATTATTCATAAAAGCTTTCAGTAATGTTTAAACAGTTGGTAATTCGATTTATCATACATTGTGTATGTACATAAATGTACTGGAAAATTTTAAAAATAAGAGTTTGAAATTTTTAATACTAAAAAATTATTTTATTAAAAGAAATTGCTTTTTTTTGTAATTTTAACATAATTTTTTCATGTAAAATTCATATCAAACACAAAATAATTTTTTTTTTTCATTTGAATATTTATAACGTTAGTAACAAATTAAAAGTATAGAATTAATAATGTTAGTGTATTAAAAAAAAATATTATTATATTATTTTATAATAACATTCCCAATGAAAGAAAACACAAAACTTATTTTCAAAGTTATATTCTCGAACTTACTTTCGTGTTTTAAACGTGAAACCATTTCTTTACTTTGTTCTAATTGATCAGATATTCTGGAAGCTGCTAATAATCCTTGATTTGCTTCAGCTAATTGATCTTTTAAACTGGTTATTTCAGTTTTCAAAGCATTTTGGACGTCTTTTTCATATTTTAATTCTTTACGAATTTTAGCCGTAGCTAAATCTATATCCTTTTGTTTTTCTAAAAATAAATAAGAATTTTTTTCAATTTTGTGTTATTAAAATTTTTTACAATAGTCATCAGGTTGAAATATCAATAAAACATAGTTTTACTGTAAAAGACTATATTTTTTAAAATTTTATTAATTAATAAACGTACTAAAATTGTATGAAGTTCTAAGAGTTTAATATAAGGCAAAATTTAAAGCAATTCAATTAAGTGTTTAATCAGTTAATTTCTTCAAGTAACAAAAAATTTCAAGACTTAATCTTAAATTAAAAATTTTTACATCTAAATTGAGTATTATGTGTATATATTTTATATAAAATCAAATAAATAACATGTAATAAATCAATATTTTCTTCTTCTAAACATTTTATGAATTAATTTTAAATTCATTAATTTTATTAATGAATTTTTAATAACATTTTATGAATATGTTCATAATTCATAATTATGAATTATGAACATATTCTAAACATTTCAGAAGAATATTTTTACTTATTTGTATAAAAATACAAAATTAAGTACATACAATAAAATTTAATAAAACATTATTATAGATTTTTCTTCTTATTAGATAGAAAATTTAATGTACCACGTAAGCATTAAAACAAAACAAAAAAAACATAACTACCTAATACTAAAAATTTAATTTTAAATTCCAAATAATATTGTAATTTTTAAGTGACGATTCAACAAAACATTTTAAAAAATTTCAAAATGATAATAAATCATGGTTAAAAAAAAAACAAATTTAAATCACACAGAAAAAAATATAATTAGTACATAAAACACTAATATATAATAATACATATAAATATCTATAAAACAATTATAGATATATTTATATATATATATTAAAATACCTTTCTGGAATTGCTCCAATGCACATTGTAAATTAACTAATGCCGCTTGATTTTTCAATTCTCGATCTTCGGCTAAACTAATTTTCGCTGCCAACTCGTCACGTTGTTGGGTCACCAATGAATATTGAGCTTGAAGTGTTTCAGCTTGCTGATTAGCACGAATACTAAAAAATAATTAAAAATAAAAATATAAAAACAAAAAACATCATAAAAATTATATTTTGTTTTGTATTTAAATTACCTACACAAGTTTATGAGGGAAAAAAACAAAAACTGTTCATAATATAGTTCATAATATATGTATATATAGCAAATAAATATATTTCGAATATAAATTAATAATAATAAAAGTACAATACAAATCTACCGTAAATAATATTTTTTAATATTTTTGTTAAAAAAAACGATAAAATTTCATCGTGCAAAATATTTAACAAAAAAAAATGAAAAAAGAACAAAAATAGTGTATACAGTAGTAACAGATGAAATATTGATTACTGTTGAATGAAAGAGCCAAATTGAAAAGTGAATTTCTTACTTTTATTAAAAATTAAAAAAATATATAAGAAGAAACTTAAACATCTGTCAAATTAAATGAAAACAAAAATTACTAAATAGAGGCAAACTCTAGGATATTATAGGATGGTAATAAGAAATAATATTAAATCTCTTAAATTCAATTCGAAAGCAATGTGTTATTAACCCGTGAAAGATCAATTTAAAATTCAATTTAAAATTTCAATTTAAGAAAAAGGGCAAAACTATAAATATTTGTGTTGATGTAAATTTTTGAACAATGGTATGTGTTTCAAAAACAAAATTATTTTGTCAAATTTTTATGCAGAATTTTACCACATTCTGTTAATTGCCAAAATAAAGCCAAATTTTGCTGAAGTATAGCTTTTGGATGCTGTTCAGTTAGCATTCAATATTTTATTGAAAATGTACCCAATATTTCCACTTCGTCCTAAGTTTACATAGAAAATTTTGCGCTATTGATAAAAATATTTGCTATCGTTTTACAGTTTAATATTACGAGTAAATTTGGAATACCATTCTCAATTTTAATAATAAAAAACTACAAAACCTTTAAAATTAAGTAAAAATGTTATAAATCAGAAATGAAATTTAAAATAATCATAACATGTAAAAAGTATTAACTTATTACCAGTAAATTTATCAGTACATATCGAAAAAATTAAAAAAGAAAAATAAAATTTTAAACATATTTATATGCATGATTATTTGTATGTATAAAATAAATTTTTTAAAACCAACGTCACATATTTCTACGTTATACTAATTTTATGCCAATAATTTGACTAAATCAGTTTCGGTGATAAAAATCAATTTCAGGGAAAAAATAAATTCAAAAAACAAAATTTTATGCGTCTTTTTTAAAGCTTTTTTACATTATGATAAGATTACCAAGTCTCTAATTAATATTAATTACCTAAACTATATTAAAGTAAATATTTGTAGGAAATAACAAAAACGCAGTTTATAACTGTATGTAAGCGATAAGAGTTTTAGGGGTTTTAATATGCTAAAATATAAAATTCTAAAATTTCTTTAATTAACTATGGTAAGTTTAATAATTTTTCGTTAACCTAAAATAATGTTAATATAATTATTGAAAATTAAAATAATTTACCTTGCCGATGTTAAAGCTGTCGATGATTTTGAAATTTCTTCTTCCATTGTTGTCATTTTTTCTTCCATCTTATTCATATTTAATTGCATTTCTAAAATTTCTTGAGTATGAGATTCTTCCTGATCAACTAAATGCTTCTGTAATCTTTCTAAATCTTTCATTATACTTATTTTCTGTTCATTAACATCTTTATTTTCTTGTTGTAAAAGTTTCTGATTGGTTTGTTCAGTTAATAAGTTTGTTGTTAGTATATCAGATTTTTCTTTTAAAAATTGAACTTGCTCTTGTAATTTTTCAATTTCTTCTTTACTATTATTAATATTTAATTGATATTGTTTACATTTTTCACATTCCGTATTATTTTTAACCATTTGATCATTAACACTATCTAATAGTTGACCTAATCGTTGAATTTCATTATAATATTGTAAATTCTCTTGATGTTTCATTTGCAAAGTTTTAATAATATCAATTTTTTCAATATTCATAGATTCGATGATTTGACGAAGTTGAATTATTTCTTCTTCGGAATGTTTTATAGTTTCGGAATGTTCATCATTTTTTAATCTTAAATCATTATTATTTGTTGTTAATTTTTCAATTTCTTGTTTTAATTCCTCTATTTGATTATTTGATGTTTGTACATCTTTTAAGGCATTTTCTAATTTTTCATTGATTAATTTTTTCTCATTTTCAAAACGATCTAAATCTTTAATTAAGTTTTGTTTATCGTCTTCAGTTGATGATTCTTCAATTAATTTAGATTGTAAAATTTCGAATTCATTTTTGAATTTTTGAATTTCTTTCTCTTTTTCAACAATAGATAAATCACGTTCCCTAATCAATTTTTCAAGTCTTTCAATATCTTTTTTAGCTTCTATTAAATTATTTTGCTGAGGTTGAACAGAACATAATAATTCTGTATGCTCTTTATTAAGACGGTCTAGTTGTTGCTCTAAATTTGATATTTTCGCTTTATGTTCAAAGAGTTCAGCATCAACAGCAGATTTTTTATCATCAGTTTTCATTTCATTAATTTCAAATATTAAATTACATTTTTCAGCTTCCATTGAATCTAATTGTTTATTTAAATTATCGATTTGAGTTTTCAAATTCGTATTTATATCCAATAATGATTGAATTTTTGTTATAGATTCCTCTTTTTCTAATTCGGTTTCTTCGAATTTCTGCGTTAATTGTTTTAACTCTTCATCTAATTTCTTATTTAAATCTTTAATGTCTTCAAGTTGCTTTTCCAATTGTACCAAACTTTCTTCATTGTGCTCTGATATTGCAGGTAATTTATTACTTTGATAATTTTCTAATTCATCTAATAAAATACGATTATTTTTTAAAAGTTCTTCACATTCAATTTTGTAATTATCTATATCGGCATTTAAAGTTGTAATATCATGTTGTAATTTAGTTCGCTCAGAATTTGATTTTAATATATCATCTGACATTTGTTTTAAATTTTTTTCTAAAACATCTACTTTCCAAAATCGATCTTTTATTGCTTTAAATGCTGATTCAATTAAATCTACGTCATTTATTTCAATATCAATTTGAACGTAAGTAGAAAACCATTTTTTTAAATCATCAAATTCAATTGAATTTCTTGTTGATTCTTTAATTATAGCTTTACTATTATCACTAGTATTTTCTGTTAAGGCCAATTCTAAATCACTAATACGTTTACGTAAATTAACATTTTCGATCATCATTTTAGCTTCAACATCAGACGCATTCGCTTCACATTTTGTCATTTTTTCGGTTAATTCAGATATTTTTGTTAAAAATGCTTCATTTTCAGAGCGTAAACGTTCCATATCAATTAATTCTGTGCTTGGAACTTGTTCCGGTGAACTACGTCTACTTTGTGTTAAAATTTTTACTTCATTTTCTAAATCTGCTATTTTATTTTCATAATTCAATTTCTGTTGCTGCAATTCAACTTGCAATTCTTTATTTAAGAATTTTGAATTTTCAACATCTAGTTCTAATTTTTGCTTTTCTGTTAATAGTTTTTCGAAACTTTCGGTGTCGTTCAATTTACTTTTAGAGTAATCATCAATTCTTGAATTTTGATCTTGATTTTCGTTTTCAAGTGTTGCATTACGATCTTGTAAATCTAAAATTTTATCTTCAAGTAATAAAATTTTATCATCTAACTCTTTACGAATTGCAAATTGTTCATCTTGATAATCCATATATTCTATGTTAGAAGCTTCAAGATCTTGACGTAATTGCTCATTTTCTCGTTTTAATTCGTTAAATCTATTGGGATCAATTATTTTTGCTGATTTCAATTCTTCAATTTTTGACATAAAATTAGAATTTTCAGCTTGCAAAAGAGCATATTTTGCTTCCCAATCTCTAATAATACGCTCCAAATCTGCGAATTCTGTTTCACGTTTCGATTTTTCTGATAATAATTCATTATATTTTTGTTCCCATGTATGTTGATTTTCATCATCTACAACAATAAAACCACCATCAAGACTTTGTTTACCAGAAGTAGAAGATGCACTACTACTTTCACTATGTTTTTCAAAATTTTTCTTTTCATTTTCCAATTCATCTAATCTTTCGTTTAACGTTTTCAATTTCTTCTTAAGCAGTGCATTCTCTTCTTCTCTTTCATTACCAAAATCATTTTCAACTTTTTCAATCAACTCTAATAATTCTTTACCTTTTTTATCCAGTAAATCTTTAAATTTTAAACTTTCATCCCTTGCTGTATCAAATTCTTTTTTTGACTGATCAAGTTTAGTTTTGAGGAGGGCATTTTCAGTAACATAATCAGCATAAACTGTCTGTAACTTTTCTAGTTTAACATTAACTTCATTTAACTGAATTTCAACATTTTGTAATTTCTGTTCAGCATCATGGGTTCTTTTTCGTTGATTTTCATAGTCTTTTGATACCACAGTCAATTTTTTTTGTATATCACGTTTTGCTTGCAAAACATTTTCGATAGCTAAATTATGTTGAGAATCTAATTCGTCCAGATTTCGGTTTAAATCATCATTTTCATTCGTTAATTTTTGTATGGTTTCATTCAGTACCCTATTTTCTTCTTGAAGTTTATTCAACTTTTGATTAAGCTTTTCATCGCCAGTTTTATTACGTTTTGGTGAATCCAATGGAATATTAACAATTTCAGCTCCACCACTAGATGATGTTTCAGAATTTGGATCATTTTCTGGAGCTGTTGATGCAACTGGATTAATAACATCAGTTGATTCAGCAGGTTGTGTTGATGATACCTCATCTGGTTCCCAGCACCAACTGTCTTCGAGTATTTCATTTTTTTCTGAGGTCTAACCAAAAGTAAAATATAAAAAAAAATTAATTATAATTACACAATGATAACAATGATATTAAATAAATAAATTATAATTCCAATATTTTACATTTCTATAATTTTAATTCATTCAAATTAATTAAAAATCATTTTAAAATGTTATTTAACTTGTTATGAAGCACGCCACTTCTCTTATATATGAAGAATTTTTCGCAATAAATAATAACAATTTAAGCTAAGGCAAATTTTATTTCGCCCTCTTTCGGATAAAAAAATAAATATCATAAAAACAATAACACAAAAAATTAAATTGAAAATATTTTAGTGAAATGCGTATATTGGAAGTAAAAACGAATTTTGACTTTTGAATTTAACAATTTACATATGTTCCTTTGTTATAAGTTTTCTTGAAATTTTGTTATAATTAAAGTTAAGAAAATTATATCTGTGGCAATTTGTTTGTACTTTTTATTAATAACTTTTTTTTAATAAAAATCCAACATGATATCAATAACAAAATCATATAAAAGATCCATACATTTTATACTAAAACAAAAAAAATTTTGAATGCATCTGCAAAAACAATATATACACATACATAGTATCTACATATCATTTAAAAATCTGAAGAATTCGATTAAAACTGCTAATTGAATAGAAAATAAGACCTATTATTGACATAAGATAGTACGAGCATCATAAAACTACAGCGTGTGAAAAAATTTTTTCAAATAAATGTTCTTTACTTTTTCACCGAGGTAGGAGCGAGTAATAATATTTCGTAGCATTCCACAAATACTGACAGTTTTTGCAAAACAAATATTTTTAACCAAATGATAAACAGGTAAATAGATAGAAGAAACTAGAAAATTAATACTAATCTGACAAATGACAGATTTGACAACTTATTATATTTATTTCTACATGAATTTTCATTATCCAATTCAATTCCTGTATGATCGTCAAGTTTTTCTTTTTTTTTTTGTTTTATAAAATTCATGACATTTTTTGATGCAATGACTTCATATTTCAGTCAAATATGCAACTATTATGCAATACATATGTATGCGTATACAAAGAAGTACAGTATTATATTTACAATAAAGATAAAATGGTTCACTTCCTTTTATATTAGTTATTTGTATTATGACTTTACCTATATAAACATCCATTAAAATTATCTAGGTAAACATTTCTAAACAAAAACCTTAGGCTATATAGAATCGAAGAACGCGGTGATGCATAAGTAATAAAAACAACAGAAAAATAAAAAAAATCAAAGCTAATATTTATATAAAAATTGTTCTTTCCTTTGTCATGTTGGAAATCTAACTTTGTCTTATATAATATTATATTTATACCGAGATAAATATGTAATATTATAAGGATAAATATTGTTCAAGTTTAATATTCTTTTAAATTTTAGGCAGAAATTTAGATTTATGGCAAGATCGCATTTTGTATCTTTGCTGCAAATCTTTGTATATGAAATTGGCACTTCACACAAAAACAAAACGTACGAATATAATGTCTACCATATCTTCTAAATAAAAACGTGAAAAAAAATTAAAATCGATTCATAATTAGAATCGAAAATTTTAACTTTTTAATCGAAAAAAGAACGACTCTTTAAAGAAAAAAAAAATTATTTTTAACACTATACTATTGCAGCATAGGTGGCATTTTAATTTTTATATTGCAAAGCAACACTTTACATTCATTATAATATAATGTGAAGAATATCAAGTGCTAATGGGGCAAAGTTGTTTATTCCATATAGGAATTAATTAAATTTTAAATTTATAATTTTTAAATTTATAATTCAAAAAATTAAATTCATTCATTAAAAATGTTTTGATTGTATTTTATATTTTGATTGTATATGGAATATATCTATTTTATTGTCCAAAAATATTGCAATAAAATTACTAGTAATATAAATTTAATATACTTAGATTTTTTCTGTTATTTGCAAAATATTTTAAAATTATTCTTATGTTAGATAGAGGATTTTCCCCATAAGCCCTTGAAAATAGGAGTTATAATTCACTTTCTGTCAACACTTTATTTAATAAAATCAGAACAGAAAAAACAAGCAAATAGTAAAAAAGTGTAATTAATTTTACATCATAAAATCACGACGGTTTTACTTAACAACATTATAAATAAAATTATTATATTTTTCAACAATATTATTTTTATTATTCAGCTTTTTTTTTAAGAATATTCAATATTAGATTGTAATTATAACTAACGCCCGCTGAAGTAATTTCATTAGGAAAAGTATACCGTTACCTCACATAATCACAATTTTTTTTATTTTTTTTGGTTTTTTATTTATAATCTTTATTTTTTTAATTATTCAAGATAAAAATCCAAATACTAAACAAATAAATTTTGTATATGCAATAATATCATTTAAAAAAAATTATTTTATATTTTTAATGTGAACATTTTCTAACCCTAATGTACGCATACACACACATAAAAAAAAGTATTATGTACATAAATACTGATAGAAATATAATTTAGGCGGTTTTTTCTCTTTTGAATTTGATTTAAAAAGTAAAACAATAATAAACACAATATAGCTTAAAACATATTATACGCACAAACATTACACATGTTATATAAATTGCATTTGCGTATATCTTGGCTAGGTTTTAGGTAAATTTTCAAAAAAAAATTTTTTGTTTAATATACTTTAAATTTATTTGTTATAAGAAAATTCATCTTAATTTATGACCATATTTATTTAACGCTCTTAAAAGGACCTTCTTTTTCAAGCCAAATTTGATCACAGTACCGATCTGCGAAGATATGTACATATATATCAATATATATTATATTCACAGATATTAGGGCTTATCATGAGTATCGAATTACTAAGTGATAGTGATATTTATCATAAAAGTTTCAAAAACTCGATTATTTACACGAATCATATGTATAAATTGGTTTGTGTTTAGAATAACAATATCGAACTTTTTAATTCTTTTTCAGAATAAGTCCGATTAGTAACTGTACAAGGTGTATTAATAGCTAAGCTGTAAAAATTTTACCAAATTTAATGTTAAAAATGAAAGTAATTATTTTGTATTTTTAAAAACTTTCAATGAAAACTTCTAGCATGAATTGCGAAAAATCGATTTTTTACAGCTTAAAGCATAGAATTAAGTATAAGACAAGAAAAAATTAGTTCATTTTATACAATAAAAATATAACAAAACAAAAACCACTAATATAAGAAAATATTAAGTTCATTGTCCTCAATATTAACATTTATAAATTGAAATTCTATTGAAGTTTCTATGCTAAGAACCGCATATAAAAATAAAATTAAAATATAATTTCAACAAATAATAAGAGTATGTACAAGAATTTATTCTTTTAAATTTATTTAACCTTATCACAGTTTCTAACTACTATATAATATACTTGTAATTGCAGTTAAAAGTTATTATTGCTATTATTTTAATACCACACAAAATAAAGCAACAAACAAAACAAAATCAATATAATAGTAATATATGTTTGTATGTATGTATGTATTGAAAAATATATTCATAATTTAAAGATTTAAATAATTTTTGTGGTTGAATTTTTATTTATAACTTTTGTAACACTACATTACATAAAAGAAAAAAAGAAATCCCTATAAAACTGTCAACTTTTCTTATATATTTTTTTTAATGTTTCTTTGACATAGTGTCTATACTAAACCTAAACTATTAACCCCTTTAATCCTGAACTTATAATAAAAGAATATTTAATAATATTATGTAGTAATCGAATAACCACAAAATAAATTTGTAAAATTAATGGAGCGTTTTACAAAACGGTTTTTTAAATTTTTTTTTTCGTTTCAATTTTATTTATTAATTTTAAATTACTGAAAATATTATAGTGAGTTATTTAGAAATTACTGTAAAAAATAATAAAAGTAAGTGTAAAAATAGTAATTGCAACATAGTATTATAAAAATTATATTTTTATTTTACAATTCTTTTGAACAAAAAATTTTATAACCCAATGAATTTAATTTGAAAGCACAATATAAGTATAGGTATGTTGAATGTATGCTGCTGCCAAAATGGATTATATGACCAGGTTAAGTTGATCTGGTCTAGCCTGTTCCGGATTTGAATAATATTCTAAATATATTAAATATTGTTACTTATTATATTCTAGAGATATTATAAAGAAATACTATAGCAAAACCAAGAATTTATTTATTTTATTTAGATGTGATCAAGACTTTGGTTTGAGTAAATTATTTAGCCTACAATAATTTAACAAAAACACAAAATCCAACTCTTTATTATAAAACTAAATTCAATTCAATTAAATTGAAACCACCGATTAGTTTTTAGTCAAAATGCTAAAATATTCACTAATTTGCTAATATTTAAGACGTAGAGAAGAATGCTTAAAGAAGTCCCGCATGAAAATTTGTTATATATACACTAATAAAATATACACAAAATTATTTTGTTCGATTTATTATCTATGGTCTAGAGACGCTTTTGCACTAAGATCATTCATATTTATTTAAAGCAAAATTTGTTTACATTATATGACATGTACTTAAATATTATATATTATATATTTGTGTGAAATAATAGTTTGACGTCAAATTTTAAATAAATTTATAAATCCAATGAATCATTGGGAAAAATGAAAATTTATTAATTACAATATTATTTCTAATAAAGTAATTGATGTATTATTGACGTGATAGTTTAAATTAATAATGTACAGGGTCTGTAACATATTTTTCAAAAATTATTCACTATATTCCATATCATTCCTACAATTTTGCTACTATCACGGAAATGTAATTATATAATTAATATTGCATAGTTGCACACAATAAATCTTGAAAAATATATGTGACTATCACGTCATAAAATATGAATAGATTTTTATAGAACAAACTTTTTACTGCACAATTCAAATATTCTAAATTATGAATAATTTAATTTCATACTTCCATCACGTTATTGTATACATAAA